GTTCAAAACTAAAATGAAAATACTATCAGGTCAATCAGACTACAAGACCAGATAAAAGAAACTTACTCAGTACAAGATAAAGAACTACGAAAAGTACATGGAGAGACAAGAGGGATATGTTGACAAGCTAGCACAAGATGCAGAAGAGACTGCCTCAAAGCAAGACATGGGGACCTTATATCACATCCAAAAAAAACTCTGACTGGAGGATTCAGAAGCACGTATACACCAGTGCGAAAAGAAGGTAAAGAATTGACCTCAAGTATAGAAGAGCTTTCCTGTTGGAAAAATCTTTTTGAAAGAGTATTAAATCAGAAATGTTCATCAGCAGAAGCTGAAATAAGTGAAGGTGTAGGAACTTTGGACATCGATACCAACGTACCAACAATAAAGGAAGTAAAACAGGCCATCAAACTTCTTAAGATTGGGAAAGCCCCATGGATTGATGAAGTTCATACAGAAATGTTGAATGCTAAGGAAGTATGAACACCTTAACTTCTAACCGATATCCTGCAAGCTATATGGCAGACAGGAACAGCACCAGATGATTGGAAGATTGGTATAGTAGTGAAGCTGCCCAAGAAAGGTATCTTAGCTGATACAAATAATTGGAGAATAATTATATTTATATCAGTTACCAGCAAAATCCTTAGCAGAAACAACTTAAACAGAATGGCTTCAGTGGTTAGACCCATACCTTCAATTCGTAAAAAACAAACTGAACTCAGAAAAGGAAAATCCAGTGCAGACCAGATATTTTCTTGAGGCAAATTTTAGAATAGAGTAATGAATGGAATGCCACGTTGTATGTCAATTTCATCGACTTTGCCAAAGCATTTGTCAGCATACACCGTCCTACTTTATGGAATATCCAAAAACATTATGTCACCCCTAACAAGATATTTTCCATCATTCAGATACTTTACAAGGACTTCCAAGCAAAGGTGATCTGCGTCACAGATCTGACAAACAGCTTCCCAATCCAAACGCGGAGTCACTTCGAAGTAAAGAATATATGGAGCAAAACTAAAATTCGTGAAAATTATGGCCCGCTTATAAATACCAAACGACAATATTGCGAAAATAAGGTGCCTCGGAATTTTGGCGATACAATTGGAAAGGGATGCTTACTCCTCGATGGCACCTGATTCCACCCCTCGTGTTTTTAGAGGTCCATGTTTGCTCTGCTCCCAATTTGTACTCTTCCATTGGATTCTTGACCTTGATTACTGTTCTTTACCTTCATATTTTATTCTACTCTGAACAGATTCACTTTACACAGATAATTCCCCATGTACATGTATACCATAACATACGGTATGTATACTCTAATATGAACGGTTTCTGGTCAACTTGTAACCTGACCGACTCGTAACCAAGTCAACTTGAACCCAAGAATTTAACTCGTAACCAAAAGTTGACATGATCTCTGAACAGATCCTTTCTACCAGAATTTCTGTAATGTTTAAAATTTTGTTTTTGTTTCAATTTCATTCAATTTCTTTTTTTTTTTTAATCATTTTTAAAAAAATTATTTTCAGATTTTGTAGAGAATCCATTAAGCTCATTTCATGAAAATACAGTTCTAGTGATTCTCTTGTCTTTTTTTTAAAGATTCAAATACAAAGTATATGATTATATGTATTTGATAAGAATTTCAAAGTAAGGCTTTTTAAAATATGAAAATTAGGTGTTTCTGCAAAATGAATTAAATATTTTAAAATATTTTTTTAGAATAAAGTTAAATATTTTAAAGCTTTATTTTAGTGGATATTGAATTTATTAATATTAGAAACAAATACATGCAATAAAAACACATACGCTATATTCAATTTTTGTTCAGGGGTCATAATATCAATATAATAAAATTATGGACTTCAGTGTAGGTCGATTTGTGTTAAATGGGCCCATGTCAAGTTATATTGACCGAAGACAGTCACACAGAACGCTAGCATTTGCAGCCCTCCACCAGCAAGTAGTGATGTCTCCATATAAGTATGAAGTTTTCGAGAGGGACGTTAAACAACAACCAAACAGTCGCTAGCGCGCTTCATGAAATATGCCTATATGAGAAGTATGTGTGATTTACACACCAATATCTCACAAATCTGAAAAAAAAAATCCTTAATTATCCTCAAATTGATTAATTATACACAGCCATAACTGAACAGACTTCTCTTTCGTGAAATCACAATGGTAAAAACATGCTCCTAATATTATGTCGTTACATTCAACGTAACATTGGCGTGGCCTTTTTTTTACAGTAAAGAAATGTGGACTCGTGCGATATCATATTTTTCGGATGAGCTTTCGTGTCAATATCAGAAAAAAGAACCCAATGAGAATTTTGAAATGAAATATGGAGATAATTAACAGTATTCAAGCTCAAAGTCCATTTAAACAGTACAAATCGGGAGCAGAGCAAACACGAACCTCCAAAAACATCAGAGGTTGGATCAGGTGCCATGGGGGAGCGAGGATCCCCTGCCGACCGGTCACACCAGCCATGTGCTTCTTGTCATGATCGGGAAATAACGGAAAAATCTGTCGACATTTCGGTGTGTAAATAATGGCCTAAACAATTAGTCCGAAAAACGTCAGTCAGCATATGACTTAATGATAGATTGCATTGCTGACAAGGGTCATTGTCGATTGAAAAGTTTAAGCCATCACGTTTATCATAAAGCTTTGTTGATAGATTACCATTAACGTATTTTTCTAGTAAAATATCCAGATATGAAATATGTATCAGACTCTGTGGTATCTTTTATTTCAAGCTCACTGGGATATATCGTGTCTACATTAGATCCAAATGTTTAAATAAGAATAAATACTGTAAACAAAATATCAAAAGTTAAGATATAGAGCCTAATACATGTATTCAGGTCCGAATTCAAAAGGGTCTCTTAATTAACTTAATACCTCCGGAAGTAAACAAAAGCTGTAAAATCGAAAGCCTGGAAGGCTTCAATGGCATCGAACACGAAAAACAATTTCAAAACATTTTTTAAATTTAAAGATGGCAGTAGGTCAAATAATTGACTAATAAAAATGTTAAGTTTCAAACAAAATGTCAACTTTACAGTCTTGGGCATTATGCCATGGTCCGAATTGACTAGACACCGTCGAACATGTTCATTCTGGATATCAAACTCATCTCTTTTCAGTCAATTAAAAAAATATCAAAGATTTAATGAATTTATATGAATATTTTTCTAATTGTTTATGTCTAAGCATTGTTTTAGTACATCTAAACAACAGCCGTAACTCGCTCTGTTGCGACTACGATCGAGATATGATCGGGCGTTGTAGGCCTATGCGGTAAAATGCGATATGGAAGAAATGGTGAAATACAGTAATAACTTCAGTTTTTATGAGAAAATTGGTTATAAGATTGTAAAAGTAAGTTTTATATTTGGAAATTCAATCCTTTTGGTCTTCTAGCATTCGTGTGAATTTAATATTGTGGTTATTTTAATATAAGTTGTTTGTGTTTACATGGTTCTCCTTCGTAGATGTTATTCAACACAGCCTTTCTTTAGAAATTCATCCGCAAGAACTGTCACGTTTTTCTTGTGTGAAAATAAAAATTAAAACAGGATATCTTTGTTATGTGACAAATTATTTGTAGATATAATTGATGCAATTTTATTTTCAATCTATTATTCACTGTGAATATTTTCAAAGAAATCGATGCATTGTTATTGCTATTTTCTTTTGCGGATGCATGGACTGGCACATTCGGTCGCGTAAAGTTTGGTCGCCCACAAAATGGCATTCGAGCTCAAGAGCTCGATGCCATAAAAATCTAGTATATTTCTTAAAAATAATAAGCCAAAGTTACAAGGATCCACTCCAATATTATTCTTTCATTCAATATACGTAATATTCGTATAACATTGCTTCTTCAAGTCATGAACGTTAAGTTTTGTATAACATTGCTTCTTTATGTCTTGAAAGTTAAGCTTTGCATAACAAAGCTTCTACAAATCATGAAAGTCAAGTTTATATAACATTGCTTCTTTATGTCTTGAAAGTTAAGTTTTGTATAACATTGCTTCTTCATGTCATGAAAGTTAAGTTTTGTATAACATTGCTCTTTCATGTCTTGAAAGTCAAGGTTTACTCAACTTCCTTGGCGATCTGATTATCATTTCGTTTGAAATTCTTTTATGACAATTATTAATTGCAATTTTGAAAATAAATTTTTTGAAATCTTGTAAAAAATAGAGTATACCGTTCTTATTTTAGGATGAAATCATTTCTTTGAAGTTTTGTTGAGAATGTAATGAACTGATTTGCCAAGCAGAGGCAATTTTAATAGTGACCAAGCAAATTCCTGCATGATCACTATATGCTTGCCGAGCTAATGCTCCACGCCATGAAAAAAGCTCTTTATGTGTTTTGATAAATCATTTTGTTTGCTTACTCCTAAGCTGGTGATATTTTTTTCTCCCAGTTGGTTGATACACGATGTAGAGTTAAGAACATTTTGATCTAAGGCAAAACAGAGAAACCACCAATGATGGTTCAAGTCAAAAAAGAAAAGCAAAACAATTCAAAATTAAATATTTCAAAAATTTTATTATTGGTTCTTTGATGTGACATTCATCACATATTTGAAAAAAAAAAGTATATGTATAATGACAACAAATATGGAGAGGTATAAAAATAACAAAAGACCTTCAACATGTTATTATTAGAAGGGAAAAACCCACATAAAGGATATGGACATCATAAAGAAATAATTTAGACGGTCTTCTAAAAATACTGTGTTTACAACACTACAATCAAGACAGATCTTTTTAAACAAAATCTACTTTATCATAAAATTACTGAAAATGGAAACGAACAATCAATTTTGCTGATACAAAAAATGACTAAAACTAAAACATGAAAAAATAAAAATAAAATGCATTGGCACAAAACTCTGAAAAATTGACTAGATATTTGTATAAAGCGATAGATTAAAAAACAAAACATAATTTAAAATTCAGTAATGTAATGACTAGACAAAAATAATTAACAATAAATTAAAATGTTTATTTTTTTAAAAAAAAAGAAGAAAATACTGAATGGAAGATTAACAGAAATATCAATTTTAAACTTCAGACTTCCTTGTATGAAGAAAAATATTGAGCTGAAGGGGAAAAAGAGAGAAGTTTAATCTACAGCAAGATTATATTACATGAGAGGCGGGTTTGTTATGTATAATATTACACATAGAGGGCTCTATTCAATAACAATGGTTCAAGCTAGTAACAGAGTATGTCTTATGCAGCCGTTTATTTTCATTCAGGAAATATTATTGAAAGAAAGAGCAAAAAACACAGTTGAAGGGGCTAATTGGTCAATATAATTGAAATCTCAATATTGATAATTAATCTATCCTACAAGTATAATAGGAATCTTATGACATACATCAGCTTCTAGTTTTTTTAACGTGATTTCTTTACAATACAAAATCTAGCCCTCGAAAGGCAGCAGAATCAACGTTATATAATATACATGTATATAGTAAAGAATATTAAAGACTACTGTCAACACAGTCACTTGTAAACAAATTAAACAAAACTGTAACATTGTGTGTAAAACAAAGGTAACGATTTATATACTTAGTTATAACCACAATATTGAGCTAGAGAATCCTTATAAAGACTGAGTATTATTCTAGCGGTTGCAAAAATGTCAAGGCTTCTCGTATATGAACAGCTAAAAAAGAAGATACATTTTGTTTTGATACACACTGGAACTGCTGTGGATGATGACATTTGAAAATCAGGATGGATGTGTACACTTTACGATCAAGTGAGCAAGTGAACAATATAAGGCGCAGTGGCAAGAACAACAAGTCCCTGTCACTTTGGGTCCCTTCTCTGTCCGGCAATTCCAACCCAGACATGACTCTGAATTTTCTTGCTATAATCGTACATAAATTAATTACTAACCACCAAATCCCGTCTTTGACATTTTATTTTGTTTTGATTCATTTTGCAGGCGATATAATGGAGCTACCATATGTCTGTCCATTACACGTTGGAAGCGCAAAAGGATTCACACTAGAAAAAGGTGAGGTCACAAGGCTGCTCATACCTGTAACAAATAAAGACAACATTGTATGGGTTATTTTCCGACATTTTATGGTAAATTTTATCATTGAGGAGGGTTTTCCTTTCTATCTAACTTTCATTTTTTATTTGCACAATTCAAATAATTCTTCAACACTATAAAAAGTTACAATACAATCTAATAAGAGACCCATGGGCCACAACACTCACCGGATTGAATAAGGCACTACTGTTATTCATCAGATTTTTTCCAAGTCCCTTCTTTCATTTCATAAAAATTTTTTGATTCCATAGTGTGGACAAACAACTAGTCCTGAGGGGCTATAATTTACTCAAAATTTAATCCACGTTACACTAGGATGAATCAATATGTCTAACAAGACCCTGCTGTTCTGGAAAAGATTTTTTTCCTTAAAAATATGCATTATGTGAATTTGGATCTCTGACTCTTGCCCAACTCTAACCCAGGGTTCATAATCAAAAAATATTTTTTATATTATTTATTGTGGTCTTACAACTCTTCAAAAGATTTCTTCCTACAAACTAACTTGTAAAATTCTGATCCTCAATTGTAGCCTCAACCTATTCCACGGGCCCTGATATAAACAATCTTGAATCTAAACTATCTGAGGATGCCTGCATATCATTTCTGTTTTGCTTATTAGAGAAAGATTCCAATCTGATTAAAATCAGATCCTTTGATCCGCTCACATAGATCGCTACACAAGGTAGTGATCTATGTGAGCGGATCAAAGGATCTGATTTTAATCAGATTGAGAAAGATTTTTTCCATCTATATTCCTATGTAAAACTTCTATCACCTATTGTGGCCCCACCCTACCCCCAGGGGTTTTGATTTGAACAAACTTGAATCTACACTACCTGAGGATGCTTCCATATTAATATGACTAATCATAGCTTTGCTGTTCTTGAGAGGAAGATTTTTAAAGATTTTTTTCAAACATATCCCTATGTAAAACTTTGATCGCCTATTGTAGCCCCACCCTACCCCTGGGCGTCATAATTTGAATAAACTTGAATCTACACTATATCAAGAAGCTTACACAAAAAGTTTCATCCTTTCTGGCCCAATGGCACTTTAGAAGAAGAATTTTTAAGAGATGCCATTATATTTTCATTAATTCTTAATTACCTCCCCATGAAAGAGCGTGTGGCCATTTGTTTGAATAAATTTGAGTCCCCTTTAACCACGAATGTTTTGTGGCAAGTTTTGTTGAAATTGAAATGGTGGTTCTGGAGAAAAAGATGAAATGTGAAAAGTTTGCGACAACAACGACAGACAAATTTCGATCAGAAAAGCTCACTTGGGCCTTCGGCTAAGGCGAGCTAAAGGGGACCCAAAATCAAACAGCTTTGATGAAAAAGAATGTTAGAAAATATGAATACCCATATTTCCAAGACCACCGGTGGGGGCGTGATACCCGTTCATGGCTGCCGAACTATATCCGCTTCCGTTACTGTGGGGCGTGGATCCATTAGAACCGTAACCTCTTGGTGACAAACTGGAACCTTGACCCCTTGTGTAGCCTTAAAAATAATAATAAAAACAACTTTCATGTAGAATATCTTTGTGGTTATCTAAAAAAAATAATTACTTAATAAAAGACAGATAGTTAATAAGTTGTTGTAATAAATCATTTACTAAAATTTTAAAATTAATCAATGAAAAGAATTATAAAATTTCAAAATCCTGAAAAAACATACGTCATTTATATAAGATTTAACATTATCATCATGCACTGTATTTTTCCTGGATTTACCTATTGACCGGTGAGTGTCCAGATCAGGTAGTTATTTACATATGAATTACATACATGTACATATTAATCACGAACAAAGTGTGTGATGAACCCACCTTCCTCCCACTGGCCATTCGTGTCCTGGATACTGACTGCTAACTGTCCAGAATATGGAGGATTAAAACTAGACATGGGAGAGCCATTGGTCATCGCGGGAGACCTGGGAGGTGGGAGGGATAGTTGATTGGGGTTTCTGGGCATACTGTATAAAGCCTCGGCTAAATCGGCCGCTCTCTTCAGGACGATCTCCTTCAAAGAATTCAAAACTCATTTTTTTTCTCCTGAATTACTCTTTCTTATGACCTTATATATTCTCAGATTTATTCCATTAATTTAAGATGAAAGTCTTTAAATGACGAAACAATAAAATTTAGTTATACAATATTTTCTTTTTTTTAATGTAAAATCTGGACATTAAATTTCTAATCCAAAATAAATATATTCAGTATTTCTTTGAAAATAATCAGCATCCAATTTTGAATGAAACAAAGGAGCCGCTTTATCTAATATGAAACTGAACTGCTGTTCGTATCTGTAATGTATAAGATACTTTCACATTTTTAGGTAATCTTTATACCAACGGTTAAACATACGCTAAACAGCTTTTCTAGCATGACAAGCCTGTTTAAGTTATTATCATATCAATATAAGATGCGTGTATCGTAGATAATATAACAGGTATTTATAATGGACTATCGTGGTTTTATCAGTACAGAAATATACCCCATACTGCTTCCAAATTCCACAGCAAACACGAAAAATATTACACAGATAACCTGTTCAGAATATCATACTTCTGATTGGATTAGAGCGTTCAGTACCTTCGGAAGCCTTTCAGGGTCTCCGGGATGCCTCGGGACGAGCTTCATCAATCTTTGGAATCCGTAATCAATAGTTGGTTCCGCTAGCGCTGAAAATAATTTAATAGAACAACTCTAAAACGTATTTCATAATCCTGAACAACATAATAATTGATGAACTTTAAGTAAAAATATGCTTAAAGCTCGCGCATCATGCAATGCGCGTAATTTTTACATTGGAACCGAGTGGGTGGAGTCATGCACACGCCCCCAGTTGCTGGTTTATGTAAATTACATATTTTTATTTTATAACCCCGAATGTATTTATTTTTTAATACTTTTACCAAACCCTCTACGAAATAGATATAATAAATGACTTGATGTCACATCTACAAAATAGATTTTGTTTTTTAAAATAATCATCTAGAAAATTACAGCCTCTGACTCTTTTCATTTGGTAGGAGATTCTATAGATTGCTATTATCACTTCGGGAAATATTCATTACGATTCCACGCCGATATTAGACTCTCAGTCAGTTCAATGGTGCATGTGTAATGACTATTGATTGTTCGGCCAAGCTCCTTCTGCACGTATTTAAAGTCAAAGAAAAAGCTGCCAAGTTTTAGTTTTCATTAGTGAAAACAAAACAGAGGACGATACAGCAGGAAAAATTACCTTCGATAAAATCTTACAGCTACTTTAATCTACTGACAACACTTTGAGACATATTACAGAACTTTAAATTGCGATATAAAAATGCAATCAACAAGAACACTTTAATTATCTTAAAATATGCAAATATTGAACATTAAGAATTGAAACAGTCTTTTTGAGATAATATATAAGTTGGCCTATTGGAAGTATCATCTCAGTATTTGATACAACCTGTGATAAAACTCAATCAGCAATTAAAATTAACTGGAGTGAAATTGAGGAATGTGATATTTATTTGTTATCTATCAATTTAAGGTACAGTGAATATCTACTTCTAATGATTAATTAAAGCTATTGATGAAGTAAAAGAAACATGTTTTATATTATATAAATTCACAATTTTTAAGATATACAACAAGCCCCAAGAGTAAATACCTGTGTAAACAAACCTCCCAGGTGCACCTTTACAGAACTGCTTGGACTTGTAGGACAACGTGACCTCTACCACACCTGGAAGTTGTCGAGCAGGTGTCTGAACACGGATGGCATGTGACGTAATCAGCTGAAACGTCATCAAGATAATGTGATGAGATATATGGAAGAAACTTTGTTTTTCTATATTTAAGAAATAAACAGATTATAAATATAAAAAAAATCTAGATATAAGAAATAAATTCCACCACTAACAGATTATAAATACAAAATTCTAAATACTGTTCAAACATGGAAGATTAATTTCTGATCATACTGTTTATAATATTTTCAAGCCTAACTGTATTGTTTCAGCAACTATAGCTTGTGTAAAAATGTTTTCTAATTTAAAATTACGCAAAGTAAATCAAACAAATCAACATTTTTTTCTGCAACAAAATCGTTTTTCGTGATTATTTTTATTTCTTTGTAGTAAATCCTTTCACTATTAGGACAACATTGTTACTCATATCATTCGCCCTCGCGTGGTATGATACGGTACTGAGACTCGTTTTATACATTCTGGTGAGTTATATCTGTTCTTTTGCCATCGATTTCTGCGCTCGGGTGATTTGCGACCATTAAACTAGTGTAAGACAACAATATAACTCGTAAATATTTAAAACAAAACAATACTGATGTTCTTAGAGCTAAGCTCGTCGCCTTGGAAGGACCAAAAGCTGACAATTAGGGCCTCTTATTCCGTCGTTTGGTTGACATTTACTTTCAATTAATTATCTCGAGATGCTATACCTCCGCTCATCTTTGGGTTTTCATCATTAATTCATGGCGATTCGACTTGAATAAGGAACGAATTGTCCATTTGTATTGTGGGAGCACATGAAAATTTTTCCTCTCTCAAATATTTCATGAAATACAACTAAACATAAATTCGATCATGTGTAATCAGAATATAAAATCTGCTCTGTTGTGTGTCAGAATGTGAAATTATAACCCCGGGTCGTTCCAGCAATGCCATGTGAATGCTACTCATCTTTCCTGGGCTTTTAAGAGGACTGATCGTAGCACGGCTATCTACAGCAACCATCTGCCAAATCGTGACCCAGGTATAGAGAACCGTTACATTTTGACTCTTAAATAAAACGGTTAAACGCACGATCAATAGATGATATCGGAGATTAAAATGCTAAATTTCCATGTTCAGTTTAAACAGGACTTGATTACCGACGCTAATTCTAGGTTTCAAATGTTAGATGGTGAAACAGCACCGAATGAAAGTGATGTATTAATAAAAAAGTAATTTTTGTCATAACAGAAAATATTGAAATTACAATGTATATCATAATATCGTTAAGTTTTCTCTCTTTATACATGTACATTTTATTCCTGGAGCTCTGTGCAATATTTTTAATTGAATATTCTATTCTAATAAGCCATAAACGACATATTTGTAGGAACACAGATATTTACCTCACTCCAAACGAACACGGAACCAAACGCCACCTGAAGTCCGTCAAAAAAGTTATCTCCAATGATGATAATGGTAGTACCCCCTAATGTCCATCCCTCACTGGGACAAATGGCCTTGATCGTGGGCGTGGCTAAAGATGGGGAAAAAGTGGTCTAGAATAATGACTGACTCTTTCTTGACAGAAAACTTAAAACATTTAGGCAAAAGATGAGTGTTTTAACTAAACTTTAAGAAGCAAAACCAAGGTGGTGTTTCTGAGTACAAGAAAGGCAAAATAAAGAGAAACTGAGGACGCTATGTAGAAGTGGTGGTAGAATCTATAGATGATTACATGGCTGTCCTATAGGCTGAGAGGTAATATACTCACTGATGACCCCAGCGTCCCGGGGGTAGCGACCGAAGGCCCTGGAGGTGTACGAGTCGGCAAAAAACCAAGCATCTAGAGATGAGAAATATTCGCGTGTCAGTTATTTTCACACCATTATACTAAGCTATAAATGGAACTATAGCTGGCATGCAAAATGGCTGAGACTTGACTTTAGTATATCAATCATGCATTGACATAAAGCATTCACTCCTCGAAGTCTTGTTTAAAATCATAAAACCTTGATTAAGTGTTTGGTAAACAAATGATGGGGCTGTACGTTTTTGTTAAATGTTTGTCCCGCCAACACTTCTGCGTTAGCTGTGTACACAAATTAGCTACAATCACTGACATTAGCATCCTAAATGTCATCAATTTGCTGCAATTATTTTCATCTCCCTGCTTAAGACGAATAGGGAAAGGATTCTTGATTTACTCGAGAACTTGTAGAAAGCCCTTAATATTTTTCAAGTGTGTATTGATTCGACACATTTGTCGCTCGACTTCTTTGAGAAAAGCTTGATAGCTTTCTGTCTTTTTCCTCACTAAAGACCAGAACCAGCGACTTTGTCTTATGGAGAGGGGAGGGTTAAATTCATTAATCTAAAAAACACGAGTACAGATGGTAAAAGAACGGCCACTCCGGAACAGATGTGTCGGGGAGAATCAGATTTTAGACAGCTGGTGTGTTATGGGGTCTGGATGAGTGCGCTATTGTTATTTTAATTTAAATTATAATCTGCCATCAAATGTTTAATTGTCTTCTAGGTAACTCGATCGCACTAGTTTGGACATTCTTGAATAATTATCATTCACTAAGTAATACCAAAGATGACTTAAATGGACTATTTTGTGAGTTGCAGTTCAAACAAAAGAAATAAAAGGAAGTGTAATTGGACAAAGTATTAGCAACTGAAACTGAGAAAGCGTACTTAAAATAACTCTTAACAACACAGAAATCTGATAAACGGATAAAAAAATGAAAGGTGAATATTTGACACATTACTAAATAAAACAAAACAAAATAAAATGAAGTTGAAGAAAAGTTAAATCGAAATAGAATACAAATTAAATGACTAAAAACAATTTACTATGAGGAAGAAGTGTTTTTCAAAAGTTAATATCGTTCCTCTGTCTGTCATACCGCTACAAACGGTTTTCTCTTTTACGGTGAAAGATAAATAAAATAAAAAAGGAAAAGTAATGATAAATATTTATAAAATAACAAAAAAAAAAAAAAATCTGAGTTCTTGTTTGTTTGAAACGACTCAGTAGATGTGAGGATGTGTGCAGTGACTGACCTCCATCTGTTGGGTCTAATCGTCTGGCCCTTCGTCCATGTTTGGAATTATTATGAACAAACATGTTATCCGAGACGGCTAGCAATGTTCCGTCTACAGAAATAGTCGTACAAATAGCCACCTGTAAAAATACGAATAAATAAACGAAGTTGCAATTTTACTTTTCACTCTTCATTATATTATATTCGTTATTAGGTTGACATTCATTAGCCAATGTGTCAATGTTAAATGTTTTTGATGTGTACATAAAATCAAACTTTATTAGACCTAGACATCAAAATCCGGTTTTATTGCTCATTTTCCCCCTTGCACGTCTACTCCGTCTCTGGTGTATATTTCATACGAGGGAACAAGTTGTTCCTGAGATCAATTTCTGATAATCATCTTACTTTATTCATCGAACTATCATCAATGTTGTCATTCTGTCTTAAGAGACTTCATTTTTTTCACCTATTCTTTGTTATTACACAAATTTCAACTAATAGCCATTGACAAACACCCTAATCCCCGAGCGGCCTTAGGCTAAGCACCTTTTCTGCCTCCGTTGAAGAGGCTGCACTGAAGAGCTCCTAATCTTATCAATATGTCTCATTTTCTGGGGATTAGGTTAAATATAATGCTAGAGTTTCAAAAACCATACATCAACATTCTTTTAGAGATTTTATAAATATCATTAAAGGGTTTAGAAGGAGATGGATTGAGTAAATGATCAGAGTTCCTCTTTGTTTCTGAGATTGAGTATCCTCGTTTTAACAAGTCCGCGCTCAAATAAAGCATTAACTCTCTCCAGTAACTAGGATTATAGAACGACAAACTCATTATAAAATGCCGCTTACCAAGAAAGAAAAAAAACTTATTGTAATTAAGCAATTTTTTTATCTGGAAAAAAATCATAAAGAAACTTGAAAATAGGTGATCCAGACTTAAAATCGCCTAAAAAGACAACAACAAAAATATATTATTTTGCTCCTCAAACATAACACATTATTTTTCGAAATACCGTTTACGTGGTTTATTTCTTTGGTAATAAACAATACTATTTTTGATATTTATATTAAGACATTCAATGAAAGGTCGGAACAGTTCGTACCTGAAATCTTCTCATATCTCGCGGGTTCCCCGCGTTCTTTAGACAGTTTTGATTGCACTTCATGAAGAACTTTAAGAAAAACCTACAAAACAAAGATCATTGATTCCGTCAGTCTACAACATGAATTGTTCTAAATTAAGAGAAGATGGGAGTTGTGATAACAGCCTGTTAATCATTGGGATGTGACAATAAAACAGTACTGACACAGCACACTGATCAGAGTCAACCACTTCTCACATCTGGCCAGAGATTCATTTAAAAATCATTTTGATTTTCAGGTTTATTTTGTAGCTTTTCATTACAGCATCAGAAGATGACAACACAAAATCGACAAAAGTCTCTCGTTAAGCATGAATGCTAAACTCGGCCCAGTTTTTATGACGATATTGCATGTAAAGGGTTAGTTCTGGTAGCAGGTAATGAAGAAATACACTATCAATTCCTCTATCAAATGCTCAATACCAACATCAATTATGCAGTACCCCGGCCTGGTATTTCGGAACGTTTGCCGGAGTACCGTTATTTCTTGGTGTGATACTAGCCATTAGTCCTACAGAGGAGAGATCGAATAACGGACAAAGGTCTTTATATCATAAATATAATATTTCCAAGTCTTGTCTCAACTGGACCGATCAACCTTAAAAGAGTCTGAACCTCTTTGTTATGAAAAAATCATGATTACGATGAAAAAAAAAATAAGCATTTATACTTTAATCGGGAAACAATAAGTAGATGCCTTTTTTTCTAAAGAGTCACAAAATGTACCCGGAAGGAAGTCCCTCCTTCCTCGGACTCTTATTTTTCCCTGACTGGCAGTCCACTGGGACGATTGTTGCTCATGTGTAAGCCTATCCCCCAAGAGGCCTGTATAAGTGGAGTGAGAAAATTACCTGCGTATCAATAAATGATTTGATCTGAGATCTCGTGAGACTTCCCGTGTAAAACCGTACCAGAATTACACTAAAGCAATTAGTCGTCTACCGACAATCTCTCATACATATCAATAGACGTACGGTTCACATACTCTATTATTTTTACAATCGACTGAAGCTTATTTAAATTTTTAACGTTCAGACTTTTTTCTCCAAAAAGTGATTCCTTTTATTTATCCTCAGTAATACATGCATTGCAGAATTTATTTTTTACCGTCAGAAGAGAATTTTTCATTAAAAAAAAATGCTACAGAGTATTATTTATTTTCATTCATTTAAAAAAGGAAGGGAACCCAAAGTAACTGAATAGACTGCAGCTATTAATAAAGGAAGGGAAAAAAGTACCTATATTTGAAACCTTTTTTATAGCCTTAAATTACAAAACTGTGTACTCTGGTGCTTCAAACTTGTACAGTTTTACTGAAATCAACCCAACAGGAGGAGCAACACTTTGAAAGATTTTCACTAGTATTCTGAGAGCTATTGGTAACACCTATAAATAGAATTATGAGTCTTGGAGCATATAAATGAAATAAATCCAAGTGTAGGAGGATTATAGTTTCACATGAATTTTCTATTTTTTGCTACTATGGCAACATAGTTTGTCGAAATTAAATGAATTATCTTAGTCTATTTCTGTATTATGATCCACTGAAAATCGGATCAAAACCATACGAATGGCGTTTAAAAAAAAAATGAATACAGACAGACACACCTACCAATGCATAAGCTTTCAATATAGTAATGGAATACAGAAACAGATGCTAAAAAAAAACTTTATATTGTAATAAATTAGTTTGGATTCACTTTCATGCCGCGTGTTATGTTGATTGGACAAGTTAATCCATAATGGCGGAAATATTGCAATTTCCTCATCATTTTCAAGTCATCGCACCATTTGATTCCAAACATCAGACGACATAGCATCCCGGAATCGGTACATTAATGTCGGTAATACCTGTGTCCCGTTCCCGATCGATAGCATGTAGCGACACACTTCAAATAGAGACCATTATTGTTATTGAATGAGAGCAAGAGACAAAGTCGGATCGGAATTGCTGGCGTTCAACAGGAACCATCAACTAATGATATTTTGTTAAAGCTTTCCGGAACAGGTCTCGTATGACACGGGAAAAGTTATTTAATTAACGATACAACATCAATCAACAAGATCATAACAGGACCGCAGCAAAGGCTCGCAAAATATGCAATGTTTAATTTGCAGAATTCAAATTTCCAAATCGATAGAAATTTAATAATTTAGTACTGCTTTCTAAGTTTCTGAAACATTGTTTTGTCTTTTGTAGTTTAATGATCAGCTTTCAATGTTTTCACACTACAACATTTGATGCCATTTTGTCAGCTTTTAACAAAAGTATTAGAACGATTTCTTTGCTATGATATTGTTTTTCTGGTGTAAAAGATTTTTATCTTGTTTGATAAAAGCATGTGCTGTTGTTACAGTGAATAGATACTAGCAGAAATGTACTAATCCTGGGAAAAAGTCTTATCAGAGCTTTTTCTGTTGCACTGATATTCTCATCTCTTCCCTGTGGACCTATTTGAAGGCAGAAATATTGACGATAATACAACTCTATCATTCTAGTTGCAGAATGCACTATTGATCACAGGACCAAAAGACTGGGGTAAAACCAAAAATCGGGTTGATTAGCAAAATACGCTACGAAACTAAATTGAACAAGTACTCTCATGGGGGAGTCGGTTGTGTTAGGTGCTTAGGGTTAAAGGGGTTACGGCAATTAGAGGAACCCAACGTGTGCTCCTCGGGCTGTCTTTGGATTTCACACATCAAAGATCAATGACAATGAGAAGAAAGCACGACATTAAACTGACAGACTGACTTATAGTGTGGAAAAATTATATAATATTAGTGAATAATCTGTGTAGAAATGATCACGTTTTGTGTCAATAACTTAACGTGTTCTTGGCAATAGTTTGTTATTGTAGAAACATATTTCGTAGATTAATTGTGACGTTTATGTGTTGATTATAAATGGCTAAATATCATCACGGTAATGCGATTCCAATAACATGTTAAGTTAGTTTATTTAGACAAGTTACGGTAGAAAACTGCGAACATTTCATTTCCTCGGAGAGTCATCCGCCTGTGGTAATTATTGTTTGAAAAAGTGTTAGGCTAGAAGGGAATACAAATGTTTTCATTTACAGCGGAGTGATACACCAAGTGAAAATTAGTTCCCAAGAGAGTCCTAAATACACAAACAAACATGTAGTAACGAGGGTTTATATTTTCCTTTCTGCGAAAAGGTGAAATAGATACTGTGGCAAAGCCATTAATGAGCAGTTTAAACAATGTTACATCAAAAGATAAACAAATTCCCCGCTCTTTACAATGACATGTATTATGACGAATACCTGCCAAGAGAAATTTTGTAACACCCTCCCCTCCCCCCCCCCCCAATTAAAAAACATGTTATGAATACCTGCCAAGACAAATTTTTGTAATACACCCCCCCCCCCCAAAAAAAAGACGAAAAAAATCACGATTTTGTGTTTCTTTTTTAAAATAATTATTAAATGAGGTTTAAAAATACTAGTACTTAAGAGAAATAACAACTTCAGATGTGAATATGACTTTTTATAGTAATACAGTATTAACTGATCGCTCAACGAATTCCTCCAGAATTGATAAATCCAATTATAAGACAAAAATCGAAAGAGCGAAGATCCTGAAAAGATAGTTTGGACAAGAATTTTAGTTACAAGAAATGATCTGTTGGACGAAGCAGACGTACATCATGGCGGGAACATTCCCTCGAGACCGCTGCCACGTCACGAATCCGTCCTCGACAGGACTACTAACTATCTAACGTAATTGTTCTCCAACCAATTCGAAACCGCCGGGAATTCTCTCTCTAATTAGTCGTCCAACATTTCTAAAGACAGTCAACCTTCCGTTTTATACGAACAGGAAAGGATTGTAGACTTCAAATTTATTCCACTGACTCGTTCACAAGATGTCGATGACTTCGGCTTCGTTCTCCATTTGTATAATAGATATTGCGATAATTTCGATGCCTTTATCCTAAAGTTTACAGTTTGATAAATTTTAAAGATGTAAATTTGAATTGCAAAGCTCTTATTTGATGATTTTTTTTCCGCTTGTGCTTAAACAAATAAGCTTTCGTTGCTTTTCTAGTGACAATTTTGCCATATTTTCCGTTTCATTTCTCATCGGAAACTGCCAGCAGCCACAACATATCAGTCGGGTCGTCGGTTATCACGGTAACCTAGCAGAAGTGTAGGCACAAAAGGCAAAACGCTCGTAATTTATGATAATTAGCGAGAGGTCCACGTGGCGATTAGATCTTTTATATCCGGGGCACGTGAATATTATCACTTCCAGCGGAAGTTGATTAACTCATGAGCTTCTTCGACAGAAAGCACATTAAGATAAAGGTTTTTGCTCTCATTTATAGAACTTTTTCCCTTCGTTCTGAATTCCAATAAAAATTCTGAACTCAGAAAATGAGGATCAAAGTTCCCGTGGGGGTTGTATTATACCATCAACGTCGCCATATAAACCAAGAGCAATCACTGGCCCTGGATAAATGACAAAATATATTTCTGAACAAACCAATGACAAATTCAGTTTCAATTATCGGCTCTCGGCGACTTCTGCATACGTATCCATCTGCGGCCCGAGTTCAAATCGCCATAAACATTGTCACCCTGTAGTAAATTTTGTAATGGCTGCCCCGCGTTCGCCTTCCTCTCGGTCGTCAGCAGACAACTTAGAGTGTTAATCGTATTAGCACGGCTAAATGGTCGCCATGATGGATGGCTCTGGCCAAAACTAGACCATTTCCATCATTCTTAATGGAAATATTCTCTCCTACTTGTCCAAATTTCTTTACGTCAAAAGAGCTTTGTTGGGAAAGATTTTCAAAAATTTATTAAAACGATCCTGAAACATTCTTTTTTCTACTGCAAAAGTTGTCATGAATTATTTGTTTTTGCGACATTTTAAGAAAATTCTTTTTAAATGTACATTTATTAATTTGTTTTCTTTATGATTCATGATGTAGGATTCCTTTGTTACTTTTTATGCACATTTGCTAATTATGGAATGATATTGATTATCTTTATTTAGTCGTGTTTATAAACT